GCCGTAATGTCATTACACCGTTTTAATAATTCCTCTTCAACCGGACGAGTTGTCACATTTGCACAGACCGGGCAATAAAACTAGTCCGATGAACCGGCGGGATGGGGTGAACGCACCCGATTGCCCGATAAAAAAATGATAAGAAATGCAATTCGTAACATCGACGTGATAAGTTGAGTCACCTTTTGAATATGATTCTCAATTCAGTCGTTTCTATCCATTTTATTGCTTCGACTTTTACGTATGAAACTAAGTTCCTAGACAGTGGGATAATTTAGATGGCAACACTGTGTAAAATAAATTGAACGGTCGTTTAAATTGAAAACAGTTACGGTATTAAAAATTTTCATAAATTCCAGTTCATATTTTACAAAGTTCTTCATAAGTATCCATTATCGATCAATCCGGTGTGATTCTGAGAAAATTCTTCATAAATCTTGCAAAACAGTTATGATACGCTTCTAGTAAAAAAATTCCAGAAAATTCAATGATGCTTCGCGGTATTTCAAATCACAGTAACAATGAGATATAACGATAATTATGAAGGAAATTTAATGGAATATTTAACAATTCGTTTGAAATACGATCAAAGTAACTCTCGTCCACGATTTTTCCTGACCCCATGCGCCTTCAACGACCTCGCTGAGAACTTTCATTCGTATCCTTGTATCGTAGCCAATTACTCGTCCGACTGTTTTTGCCTAGTGCCTGATGTATGAACGTCATTTAACAACATTGCTCTTACTATTAACCTCGTAAACGACAGTACTATGTATATATACAGTACTATGTATATGCTAGCGAGGACTGTATTCGTGGTTTCATCCACAGGTATCGTCATGAGAACATCATTTTTGGACCATGACATAGAGCATTATCGTTGAGTTACCATAATCACGTTGAGTACGTACGCGAGTTTTTTTATCTTCGTTATTTTCTCTCCGTTACGTATCGACTGATTGTAACATTCACGTGTGTAATCTTTAGAAAAGATTTGCTCGCGAGTATCGTC